AAACGAGAAGCTAGCTTTGAAGTGGGACTGGTTTGTCCGGTTGAAGCGAGCGGATTGGACTATTGGAACAGTGCGCACGTCTACTGTATGCGGTGCTCATTTCACCCCGGAGGACTTCGATGGCTTAGTACACTGCTCAAAAAAATAAAGGGAACACTTAAACAACACATCCTAGATCTGAATGAATGAAATCATCTTATTAAATACTTTTTTCTTTACATAGTTGAATGTGCTGACAACAAAATCACACAAAAATTATCAATGGAAATCTAATTTATCAACCCATGGAGGTCTGGATTTGGAGTCACCCTCAAAATTAAAAGTGGAAAACCACACTACAGGCTGATCCAACTTTGATGTAATGTCCTTAAAACAAGTCAAAATGAGGCTCAGTAGTGTGTGTGGCCTCCACGTGCCTGTATGACCTCCCTACAACGCCTGGGCATGCTCCTGATGAGGTGGCGGATGGTCTCCTGAGGGATCTCCTCCCAGACCTGGACTAAAGCATCCGCCAACTCCTGGACAGTCTGTGGTGCAACGTGGCGTTGGTGGATGGAGCGAGACATGATGTCCCAGATGTGCTCAATTGGATTCAGGTCTGGGGAACGGGCGGGCCAGTCCATAGCATCAATGCCTTCCTCTTGCAGGAACTGCTGACACACTCCAGCCACATAAGGTCTAGCATTGTCTTGCATTAGGAGGAACCCAGGGCCAACCGCACCAGCATATGGTCTCACAAGGGGTCTGAGGATCTCATCTCGGTACCTAATGGCAGTCAGGCTACCTCTGGCGAGCACATAGAGGGCTGTGCGGCCCCCCAAAGAAATGCCACCCCACACCATGACTGACCCACCGACCAAACCGGTCATGCTGGAGGATGTTGCAGGCAGCAGAACGTTCTCCACGGCGTCTCCAGACTCTGTCACGTCTGTCACATGTGCTCAGTGTGAACCTGCTTTCATCTGTGAAGAGCACAGGGCGCCAGTGGCGAATTTGCCAATCTTGGTGTTCTCTGGCAAATGCCAAACGTCCTGCACGGTGTTGGGCTGTAAGCACAACCCCCACCTGTGGATGTCGGGCCCTCATACCACCCTCATGGAGTCTGTTTCTGACCGTTTGAGCAGACACATGCACATTTGTGGCCTGCTGGAGGTCATTTTGCAGGGCTCTGGCAGTGCTCCTCCTGCTCCTCCTTGCACAAAGGCGGAGGTAGCGGTCCTGCTGCTGGGTTGTTGCCCTCCTACAGCCTCCTCCACGTATCCTGATGTACTGGCCTGTCTCCTGGTAGCGCCTCCATGCTCTGGACACTACGCTGACAGTCACAGCAAACCTTCTTGCCACAGCTCGCATTGATGTGCCATCCTGGATGAGCTGCACTACCTGAGCCACTTGTGTGGGTTGTAGACTCCGTCTCATGCTACCACTAGAGTGAAAGCACCGCCAGCATTCAAAAGTGACCAAAACATCAGCCAGGAAGCATAGGAACTGAGAAGTGGTCTGTGGTCACCAACTGCAGAACCATTCCTTTATTGGGGGTGTCTTGCTAATTGCCTATAATTTCCACCTGTTGTCTATTCCATTTGCACAACAGCATGTGACATTTATTGTCAATCAGTGTTGCTTCCTAAGTGGACAGTTTGATTTCACAGAAGTGTGATTGACTTGGAGTTACATTGTGTTGTTTAAGTGTTCCCTTTGTTTTTTTGAGCAGTGTATATATAACCAGCGGAAGGCAGGATTCGGAATGAGACTGACTAAAGACCAGGTGCTGTGCCGAGCTTGACTGAAGCCTGCAACCTCTATTTCCTACCGACCTACCGGTACATTGCGAGTGTCAGCAGTGATGGAGATAAATCGGGTCAATTCAGTGTGGATTTACCTCACTATATCGCTATTGGATTAGCTGACTCTCCCTCGGCCAGTGAAACGGCCTCTCCCTCTGAAGGCCTCTCCTTGGATCTTCTTTGACTCAGCTGTCAATCGGTAATTCTCTGCTCTCTCTATTTTATATCTGCTGGCTTTTTGTTGTGTTCAGTGGGTTGGGGCCTGTGCTACACTAGTTGTTTCCTTGGCTTACTACTTAGCTATGTTGACCATGGTGGTTGGCTAGCTAGGCTAGCTAGCAGGTTAAAATAACAAACTTTAGGCCTCCCGAGTGGCACAGCGGTCTAGGGCACTGCATCGCAGTGCTGAGACGTCACTACAAACTCGGGTTCAATCCCAGGCTGTGTCACAGCCGGTAGTGACCGGGAGACCCATGAGGCGGCGCACAATTGGCCCAGCGTCGTCCAGGTTAGGGTTAGGGTTTGGCCGGCCGGGATGTCCTTGTCTCATCGTGCTCTAGCGACTCCTTGTGGCGGGCTGGGTGCCTGCAAACTGTCGTCAGTTGGACAATGTTTCCTCCGACACATTGGTGCGGCTGGCTTCTGGGTTAAGCGAGCAGTGTGTCAAGAAACAGTGCGGCTTGGCAGGGTTGTGTTTTGGAGGATGCATGGCACTCGACCTTCGCCTCTCCTAAGTCTGTAGGGGGTTGCAGCGATGAGACAAGACTAACTACCAATTGGATACCACGAAATTGGGGAGAAAATGGGGTAAAAATAAATACAAATAAAATACATAACGAACTTCAGCTGGCTGGTTAAGATAGCTTCATATACCGGTAACATTATTTGATAACTGGTTAGATGGCGTTATGTATTTCCAAAACGTTGGTTTACTTTAATGTAGCTGTAAGCTAGGTGTTGATAGCAACTGGCTGACTCATGCAGTGCTAACGTAACGTTAGCAGGCTAGTAGGGGTAACGTTAGCAGGCTAGTTGGCTAACAACCTTGCAATCGGATTTGTAACTGTCACACCTACTCCCGCTCCGGCGCTCGACGTCGCCGGTCTACTAACCACCAGCCCTAGCTATCATCATTACGCACACCTGGACCTCATCATCACCTTGATTACTCTCCCTTTATTTAGCCCTCTATATCCTAAGTCATCAGGCAGTATTGGTTTGTTTTCACGTTCAGTACGCTACTCCTGTTTTGTTCATCTGCCTTGTCTTAATATTAAACTCTTTCTGCACCTGCTTCCTGACTCACTGTGTATACGTTACAGTAACAATAAATTAATTAAGTATTTGTTTGTTAGTTGGCTGAAAATGTTATTGTAACCAGTAGTCATGAGTGCAAACAATTTGGTTTAATTTGAAGTTATACATTTGAAGTTATTTCTGTTGGAGTTTACATTATAGGGAATTGGCTAGCTTGCCGGGTCCTCCATATTACGTCACACCCGGCATTCTGATCAGTTTTATGTTTAAAGTGAGGTGTAACTTTGCATTGGGACTTGCATTGGGTGCTGATTCTACTGCAAATCCATTTGTTACATGTGGTTACGTTTATGCTACCTACCCTTTAAAGAGAATGTGATATGGTGACTGGTGAGAATGGGGTCATGCAGTGTGGGACAATAGGGGACTGAGTGAGACTGGAGCCTAGCTTGGCCTCCCAGCTACAATGGAGAGAGTAATCGCTCATATTTATGCCTGAAGTAACACACACACACAGTGCTGTGAGCTCAAAGGTCCTCATGGGAGGCCGTGTAACACAACCTTACACGCTAGAGCAGAGAGAACACGCTAGCCGAGAAAAACCAGAGTGAACACGCTAGCCTAGAACAGCCATAGAGAACACGCTAGCCTAGAACAGCCAGAGAGAACACGCTAGCCTAGAACAGCCAGAGAGAACACGCTAGCCTAGAACAGCCATAGAGAACACGCTAGCCTAGAACAGCCAGAGAGAACACGCTAGCCTAGAACAGCCAGAGAGAACACGCTAGCCTAGAACAGCCATAGAGAACACGCTAGCCTAGAACAGCCATAGAGAACACGCTAGCCTAGAACAGCCATAGAGAACACGCTAGCCTAGAAACAGCCAGAGAGAACACGCTAGCCTAGAACAGCCAGAGAGAACACGCTAGCCTAGAACAGCCATAGAGAACACGCTAGCCTAGAACAGCCAAGAGAACACGCTAGCCTAGAACAGCCAGAGAGAACACGCTAGCCTAGAACAGCCAGAGAGAAACACGCTAGCCTAGAACAGCCAGAGAGAACACGCTAGCCTAGAACAGCCAGAGAGAACACGCTAGCCTAGAACAGCCAGAGAGAACACGCTAGCCTAGAACAGCCAGAGAGAACACGCTAGCATAGAACAGCCAGAGAGAACACGCTAGCATAGAACAGCCAGAGAGAACACGCTAGCATAGAACAGCCAGAGAGAACACGCTAGCTAGAAACAGCCAGAGAGAACACGCTAGCCTAGAACAGCCAGAGAGACACGCTAGCCTAGAACAGCCAGAGAGAACACGCTAGCCTAGAAAAAGCCAGAGAGAACACGTTTAGCCTAGAACAGCCATAGAGAACACGCTAGCCTAGAACAGCCAGAGAGAACACGCTAGCCTAGAACAGCCAGAGAGAACACGCTAGCCTAGAACAGCCAGAGAGAACACGCTAGCTAGAACAGCCAGAGAGAACACGCTAGCCTAGAACAGCCAGAGAGAACACGCTAGCCTAGAACAGCCAGAGAGAACACGCTAGCCTAGAACAGCCAGAGAGAACACGCTAGCCTAGAACAGCCAGAGAGAACACGCTAGCCTAGAACAGCCAGAGAGAACACGCTAGCCTAGAACAGCCAGAGAGAACACGCTAGCATAGAACAGCCAGAGAGAACACGCTAGCATAGAACAGGGCTGACAATACATGTATCAGCCAGGCCACTGGGGCTCTGTAGGCCACGTAGGAACCGTTATGACAAAGGAAGCATGGACTGGGAGGGCGGGAAACAAAGGCAGTGTGTGTGTGTGTGCGCGTGCTTGCCTGTATGCGCACGTGTGTGTGTGTGTGTGTACGTTTCTCACCTCCGGTGCGGCCCAGGCCGACCTGGACAGCCGGGTGCAGGCTGCCCTCATTCTTGAGCAGGTGAGGCAGGTGGTGGTAGATGTTTGGCACCTGGAGAGGCTTCCTACTTGCCAGCTCCTTCAGCAGCTTCTGGGTCTCATCTGACAGAGATACAGGAAGGAATCATAGAGTTACAACTGGTAGAATGGTTGAGAACTAATCAAAAGGGGACCATGGCGCTCTCCCAGAAGCTTGGCTGTTGCGTTAAACCCGTGAATTCAGACAAATAAAAAGGGGTAATGGGTCCGCACTCAAAAAGATGTTGCATAAAGCGTATTTTTTTATTTTTTATTATTATTATTTTCACTGCATCAGGGATAGCGTACACAGATGTTTCACTGCATCAGGGATAGCGTACACAGATGTTTCACTGCATCAGGGATAGCGTACACAGATGTTTCACTGCATCAGGGATAGCGTACACAGATGTTTCACTGCATCAGGGATAGCGTACACAGATGTTTCACTGCATCAGGGATAGCGTACACAGATGTTTCACTGCATCAGGGATAGCGTACACAGATGTTTCACTGCATCAGGGATAGCGTACACAGATGTTTCACTGCATCAGGGATAGCGTACACAGATGTTTCGGCTTTGCGGCCTTCTTCAGTGTGTAGGTAACATTTTATTTTAATTCAAAACAGCACTTGGAAAGAACAACTGATGAGTAGCAGGTGCTTCTAATCAGGATTGCCAATCAGGGATGTGGCTTTTGTCACAAAGAAATACAGAATTATAGGGTATGAGAGCGGACACGAAGGGCAATTCATGAATCAATTGACTTAGGTGTCTGCTCACTTGGATACATTATATAAATTCATGAGATGGCTTACCACAAAGAACATCAGCCTCAGTCGTTCATAAATATGTTGGACTGACTCGTAAACGATATGCAAAATCTGATATGGACAGTGTTCTTGTATAACAGTTTAAAGGTGGCCTATAGGAAGGAGATGAAATCTAGTTCTTCATTTAAACCGTGTGGAGATACAGAATTTAATTTATACATGTATATCCACATGGCTTCTCTTTGGAGTGATTTCTTGTTGTAATCACCTCCTCTGCGTGGTGGATGAACTTTTTAGATTAGAGCATTATGTTCATTCTACTTCAAGTCTAGCATTACTAAAGGCCTGTTTAGGATGGAGATGGTCTATAGCCTGAGGGATAGGTACTATTAGATAAGAGGAGAGCTGAACCATCCAGTCTATTATTCTCCATTAATGGCAGAATACACAACCCTTGCCGAGTTCCCCATTAAAAGAAAGGGGGGATTCAGCTTGAATGGGTCTTTATGTGTGGTTCTCTGTAGCTCAGCTGGTAGAGCATGGCGCTTGTAACGCCAAGGTAGTGGGTTCGATCCCCGGGACCACCCATACACAAAAAGAAAAATGTATGCATGCATGACTGTAAGTCGCTTTGGATAAAAGCGTCTGCTAAATGGCATATTATATTATTATTATATATATTGTGATCAGTGACCTGAGAAGCTGGTGAATGTAGATCCATCCTGGGTGTGTGTGTGTCGGTGTGTGTAGATCCATCCTGGATGGATGGATGGGTGTGTGTGTCTGTACCTGAGAAGTTAGTGAGAGCATCCTTGCTGCCGTTGGTCTCTGCAATGGCCCGTCTGAACTGCTCCAGGATGTTGTTGAGCTCTGAGGATCGTTGCAGGGTCCGGTGCTCAGCCACACGGAGGCGCTCTTTCAGGGCATGGAACTCCCTCTGGTACGCTACCAACTTCTCTATAGGGACAGAGAGAGGGACAGAGAGAGAGAGGGGGGGGGGGGGTGGTTAGTTCTTCTGCTCTTTATTCCAACATTAACTCTAACTCCAACACTGTGTCCCAGTGTAGGCTAATAGTCATGTAACACCTTCTAATACAGAATAGAATATGAAGTGTTCTTAGAACCTTCCCAAACTGTTCTGTGAGCGGGCAGTATACTTCTCCCTTAGCAGTGTTTCCCCTATATCCTATATGCTTCTTCAGAACATGGGCAAACCGCTGCCACATCAATGATTTATCACTCTATACAGTAACAACAACCAATACAAGCAATAAACCCTGTGACAAAAGATCGCTCTGAGACCCAATCTGGCTCTGCTTCAGGCAGGCATACTCCACTTTTCTAGATTGAAAACACAAATAGCTATTACGTTCTTAAAAGTCTCTGTTTTTATGGATGATTCTGCTCCTAAAATCGCTTCCCCCTTGAGGATAACATGTTTACAACAAATGGAACACCAAATAAAGAGCTCCCTCCCTCTCTCTCTCTGTAGCCAGGACTAGAGCAGGTGGGGGAGGGGTGGAGAGGAACCTTGTCTAATAAGTCTCTCTCTCTCTCTCTCTCTCTCTCTCTCTCTCTCTCTCATAGGACAGGGTCACCGACACAAGCCTCTTAAAATGTCCTTATACAGACTCCAGGGAAGGACCCACACACTGTTGCTTATTACTCTTTCCACCAGCATCCAACTTCACCCAACACTCTTTCCACCAGCATCCAACTTCACCCAACACTCTTTCCACCAGCATCCAACTTCACCCAACACTCTTTCCACCAGCATCCAACTTCACCCAACACTCTTTCCACCAGCGTCCAACAACACTCTTTCCACCAGCATCCAACTTCATCCAACACTCTTTCCACCAGCATCCAACTTCACCCAACACTCTTTCCACCAGCATCCAACTTCACCCAACACTCTTTCCACCAGCATCCAACTACACCCAACACTCTTTCCACCAGCATCCAACTTCACCCAACACTCTTTCCACCAGCATCCAACTTCACCCAACACTCTTTCCACCAGCATCCAACTTCATCCAACACTCTTTCCACCAGCATCCAACTTCACCCAACACTCTTTCCACCAGCATCCAACTTCACCCAACACTCTTTCCACCAGAATCCAGTCTGGTGCTTGCTTGCTTGCATGCTGTGTGTGTGTGTGTGTGTCGTCTCACACCCATACTTAACCCACAATATCCCCTCCCTCTCTCCCTCTCCTTTTCCCTCCTCCACTAACACTCACTGATTCATGCAGCTGACGGTGTGATCATGAGGGCTGATAAGGGACATGTGCAGTATTAGTTGCAATATTTATGTGGATGTGGGTGGCTGAGTTAACTTGCTGCTGAAATGTTCTCTCTTTTACCCTCTACCCCCTTCTCTCTCGCCCTCTCCATCCTCACTCGGTGTTTTAGTGTCCTCTGGAGGACCAGGCATCTCTGCAAAGGCAATGCCTTGTATAGGGGTAGGGGACTGGAACAATTCCCATACAACATGTTGAGACGGGCACAATCAAAATAAATCACGACATTCATTAGCGCTTTGTTTGTTGTGTCATACCCATTGCAGAGTGAAAATGGAGAGTGTGTGTGTGATGCTGAGAGCATGTGTGAAGAGAGAGAGAAATGAAGAGAGAGAGAGAAATGAAGAGAGAGAGAAATGAAGAGAGAAATGAAGAGAGAGAGAAATGGAGAGAGAGAAATGGAGAGAGAGAAATGAAGAGAGAGAGAGAGAAATGAAGAGAGAAAGAGACAGAATAGAATGATGAACAAAGCAGAACAGTGAACAAATTGTCTCAAAGCCACTGATCCCAAGGGGCCTCATATATAAACAGTGCGAACAAACAAAATATGCCCCAAAACATGCGTGCGCGAGTTTTCATGCAAAAAATGAACGTGACGTGAGAATGTGCTTATCCTCCCACAAACTTTAGACCATGCGGGCGCACAGTTTCTAGTGGTTGAAGCCTTGCATTGCAAGAAACCAGAAGTAGCCTTGTAGTAGGCTAGTAGTAGCCTTGTGCAGAAATATATGACGACACTCTTATTCATAACAAAAGAACAGGTAGCTAACTAAAATAAGAAGATGCAATCATTTGCTGTTAGTGAGAAGAGCGAGAATCAATTCATCTTTTCATTCTAAAATAATTAGAAATAGGCATGTTTCCTATTATCTATTTTCTTTCCATGATCATTGCAGAATACATTCCTCACCTTTTATGACTGTGTTAGTTTCATACCCGTGAAATAGCCTATAGGCCTACAACAAGATAGAATAGGCTACCATTCGTCCCATCTCTCATTTAATTGGACCCACTTCACAGTAGTAAATAGATCAGCTAATTCAAGCAGCCTATTTTGCTCTATGCGATCCGAACCGAAGCGCAGTTTAACACTAGAACAGACGGTTCATCTTTTGTAGGCTACGTCTGTAATGTCACATTTCTCAAGTAGACAATATTTCATTTATAAACATAATCATTGCATAATAAATTCCTCACCTTTTCTGGCCATGATTAGTTCATATTCCCGAAATAGCCATACAACAAATTACCATGCACTTCTCTCATTTAATTGGACCTATGAAGTAATTTTAATTCCAAGATCTTGCTCTATGCATACGACAGAGGGTTTATAACATACAGTAGAATTTAACAGGTGAACAGACAGTTGATCTTTTGCATTGAAGTGTGTAGGCTACCACTGTAAGTAGGCCTGCGGTAGTTTATTTGTTTCAGAGTAGACAATGTTTCAGAATTCGTGGGCAGTGCAGCAAATTTAGGATCGTGGAAAAAGTGAATGCAAAACACTAATGCATTCAAACGATATCAAACGATCTGTTTACAGGTCCACAATAATTTGCAATTGTTTGTGTCTTTAAAAACGGTCAGATACAGCAAATGTCACTCTGCCTACATCTCCAAAGACATTTGATCAAGTTTGCCATCGCTATTTCCTTTAGATACTCTTGGCCTAATTCCAATACTTCCAAAGTATACAGCAAATAAGGGCGTTATTGTCACCATAAAAGGTGAATGATTTGCGTTTTTCAGGCGGTGTTCTGCTTGTTCATGCACCCACTGTTTTAAGAAAGGTCTGATTTATAACGGGAAACATGTTAATGTATGGCGTACGCCAAGTTTATACATCGTAATGTTTTGGTACTTGCGCAGTCTTTTCAAATATTTAGTGTTGAATTTACGCAACGGTTATAAATGAAGCCCCAGGTTATTATGATGAAAATAGTGTCTCTTCATCCCATCTGATGTGGCGCTAAAAGCAAATCATCTCCAACAGCAGAACGTGTCAATCCTTCTCTTCAGAGGTTAAACACACACACAAACAAACACAGAATACACATACGTCACACACACACGCACACTCACTTCAGTAGTTGTGGTTATTGATCTGTGATGATACCCCTGAGGGTAGAGGTGTGTGTCGATCCAGTGTGGGGTGATCCTGTGACGCTGTAAGTGATACATCCTCTACATGCTGCCACGGAGAAAACAACACACACAATGCCACACAACACAAAGACCATAACACACACACACACACATCACAAACACACACCACACACACACGCGGCTGTTTCTGCCTCCAAGAACAAGACTCCTGACAGAGCTTAACTCGCAGCCCTAAATCTCTCTCACCCTGCTCATCTTTCTCTCACTCCCCTCCCCTCTCTCGCTCTTCCTCTGTACCTTCCTTCCATCCCTACCTCACATGCTCTAGGGATGGAGAGAGCAAGACTCTTGACTGACCCCTCCCCTAGCCTTCCTTTTCCACTAATCCTCACTCCATTTCTCTGTATGTTTCTCTCCCAGTCTCCCTCCCTCACTCTCTCAATTCAATTTCAATTCAATTTAAGGGCTTTATTGGCATGGGAAACGTATGTTAACATTGCCAAAGCAAGTGAAGTAGATAGTAAACAAAAGTGAAATAAACAATAAATATTAACAGTAAACATTACACTCAGAAGTTCCAAAAGAATAAAGACATTTCAAATGTCATATTATGTATATATACAGTGTTGTAACAATGTGCAAATAGTTAAAGTACAAATGGGAAAATAAATAAACATAAATATGGGTTGTATTTACAATGGTGTTTGTTCTTCACTGGTTGCCCTTTTCTTGTGGAAACAGGTCACAAATCTTGCAGCTGTGATGGCACACTGTGGTTTTTCACCCAGTATATGAGGGAGTTTATCAAAATTGGGTTTGTTTTCGAATTCTTTGTGGATCGCTGTAATCTGAGGGAAATATGTGTCTCTAATATGGTCATACATTTGGCAGGAGGTTAGGAAGTGCAGCTCAGTTTCCACCTCATTTTGTGGGCAGTGTGCACATAGCCTGTCTTCTCTTGAGAGCCAGGTCTGCCTACGGCGGCCTTTCTCAATAGCAAGGCTATGCTCACTGAGTCTGTACATAGTCAAAGCTTTCCTTAAGTTTGGGTCAGTCTCTTTGCTTATTTGAGCTGTTCTTGCCATAATATGGACTTGGTCTTTTACCAAAGAGGGCTTTTGTGGAAGAAATTCAACAAATTAACTTTTAAGAATGCAAACCTGTTAATTGAAATGAATTCCTGGTGACTATCTTATGAAGCTGGTTGAGAGGGTGGCTATTTGAAGAATCTGAAATATAAAATATATTTTGATTTGTTTAACACTTTTTTGGTTACTACATGATTCCATATGTGTTATTTCATAGTTTTGATGTCTTCACTATTATTCTACAATGTAAAAATTGTAAAAATAAAGAAAAACCCTTGAATGAGTAGGTGTGTCCAAACTTTTAACTGGTAGTGTATATACATCTTTAGATATTAGAATTTTTGTTCCACTTTGACATTACAGATTGTGTGTAGATCGTTGACCAAAATGTACAATTAAATCAATTTTAATCCCACTTTGTAAAACAAAATGTGGAAAAAGTCAAGGAGTGTGAAT